CTCTCTATCTGACAGCCCTTCAAGTACTTGAAGAGGGTTCTCTGATCACCTCTCCGTCGTCTCCTCTCCAGGCGAAACATACCCAGCTCCTTCAACCTTTCCTCGCAGGGCTTGGTCTCCAGACCTCCATCTTCCCAACTGGCCAATCCACTTTCCTGGGAAACATGGCGGACATCAGAGGAAGGGGTAACACTCCTTGGGCGGATCGTGCTCGGTTCCCCCTCCCCCCGGACACCCCCACCTTAAAATAATGGAGGCCACACACAGCTGTTTCCTTTTAAATAGAAGCAAAGTTCTTTACAGCACCACGAAAAGCCATCAAATATTGTTTTTTTTCATAATAACAACAATACAGGTAGGTGGAATGTGGGAGGCAAGAAAAGGAGTTTGGCGTTAGGATGCATAGCTCTGACAGGATGGTCATACAATACAGGTTCCATAACTTAATAAAAATATATGTTTCATATATATATTACACATATATATCCAGCATAAGAATCTTGGAATACTTTTTTAAGATACAGCTTGGGTTTGTTTTTTTTATTTTTGTTTTTAATCTCTCTCTCTCTCTTTACAACAGATATATTCACGTGGTCATTTCATTTTGTTCTTTTTAAGTTATTTTGTGTGTTTTTTTTATTTAATAAAGTTGTGCCAGACAAATTTTGGAGCTTAGCAAAGACAGACCTATCTGTACTTGGAGAAGAGGGGCAAATGCGGCACACCCTCGAACCCCAACCTGTGGGCACCCCAGTTCTCTCACAAACGGAAAATGAAAAATGACAAGAGCAAGAGAAACAACCCGGACGGCATCCCCAACTTAAAAGCCATTTTCTAGCCCAGACAGATTCCTGTGTGTACCCCGGTATCGAACTGCACGTGTGTCCAAAGTACACCCACACACAGACTTCCAATTTTATTACTCTTTTAAAAGCAACACGCAGAAAATAACACACTGGTAGGAGACGAGATTGTACCAAATAACCCGTAAAGGAAGGCACATCTTTCTTCTTTTTGCTAAAATGGTGTAGAAAAGAACATGGCAAAGGAGGAGGAGGAGGGGGAAAAGAAAAGAAGCCCGTGTAACAGAAACGTATTTTTGCACTCCCCCCAAAAAACAAAAGTAACGGTACCTTTGAAAACCTTGTGCTACTTTTAAAGATGGTCTCACCACAAGTTAGAGGTTAGGTCTAATGGTCAAGCGACACTCCAGTTCTTTCAATGCAATCTCTTTAAAACTGTTCTTAATATACAATTGATAATATTAACTCTCTTTTAAATATATATTAAAGTCCTTTCCTTTTGCTAATTATCTCGGGGAGGGGGAGGTCGATCCATATAATCTTTCTTCTCCAATAATTTAATACTCTATAGCTTATTTTACTGCAACCCTTTATACCCTTCTAAAGGCAAAAGGTGGATTTTGTTTTCCACATTTCGCAAAGCTGAAATAAGGGGGCTTTTGCCCACTTAGCACGATTAATAACCGTCACCTATTAACCCTGGGAGTTATGGGACCCCAGGGGCAGAGGAGGGAAGAGGGGGTTTCCTGAGCAGTTGATCTTCATCTGGTGCTTTCAAGCACTCGAAACGGGTCGCTTCCCAAACTAAGGCAGGGGCTGCTATCAGCGTTTCTAACTTTCCGGCTTCTTGTTTGTTTGTTTCTCGCAGGAGAAGAAGAGTAGAGAAAGGAATAGGGACCCCAGAGGATTAAAGGAGGCCCCAAGTTGCAGGCTGGGGAGGATTTGAAAACAGGTCTTGCATCTGCAGAGTAAGACAACAAGACTCTAAAAGGGAGATGTACCTATGGAAGCTCAGGATAGAATCAGGCCACTTGGCCTAAAGGCAGCGAATGCCCAAGTAAACACTGGTTTGTCAAGGCCGCTGGCCGTAATGGTACAAGATACTTGTGGGGGTGAAAGTTTGAGGCCTCTGGGGCCTGAAATCTAGAAGGGAATGGCAGACATTCCATCCTGAAATGTGGGCTCTTCTCTTTCGATTATGATCTGTGCAGGGTGCTCTACTGTTGTTGAGCTAGAGGAAGATGGAATGTGAGGAAGAGAACAGAGGGGGTGAGTGGCGGATTCCGTTATTCCTGAAACATCTAAGGGGCTATAGTCAGCAAAGGACCCAGTGGTTACAGTAGTTGGCGGACCCATGCTCGTGGGGAATGTGCCACGACTGCTAGGCATGTTCCTCTGATCGGCACCCGTTAGCTTGGAGCTGGCCACCTGTCTCTTTGGACGGCAAACACTATCTAGAAAACGAGAAGATGATCCGGAAAATATCTAAGCGGTGGTGGTGGTGATGCGGCCTTGTTGGAACACGACTGCGTGACGTGACCTCTGGGCTCGTGGAGGCCTAAAACCACCGTAACAAAACATTTGAGATCTACTCGACGAAGGACGCTAAAGCCTTATTTCTGGAAGCAAACCCTGACTGTGTAAAAAGACAAACCCCTGCAAATTTGTTCAGTCTTTGACGGAGGACTTTTAAGGGCACCGGGGCCCGCAAGCTAGAAACCTCGAGGGACCTGCCAAAAGTCTAATGATGTCCACCACCAAGACAGAAGCCGGAACAGAAGCGACCTCAAAAATTCAGAACGCCCCAAGATGAGAGGTCTTCAGGGATCAATGCATAACGAAGCTAATCAAGTTCAGTGCCAGGAACGACTCCTTGAACTGAATGTCGCTTCCAAGAAAGTCATTAGCTCTCTCGTGGCAAAAGGGGATGCTAAATTGCACCGGGATGGGAGTAATTTTGTTTAACGGTGATAAGGAAAAGGAGGGGTCTCTAGTTGCCAAGAAATGCCATCAGGAAGAGAGCAGCTGATTGATGCTCTACGAACCGGAGTTCCCGTATCGCTGAAGGGATGGGTAATCCGTTATTGGAATTCCCAGATTGTGCTTGTCTAAGATAGGATGTGCCCATCGAGAAGCAGATCCCTGTGGATCCATAGGGAGTGGCTATATCTCCCATCATCCTTTGGCCATTCAGGTGCTCGATTGCCTACTTCCCACTGCAACTGGGAAATGGGGGGTTTGTTGGGTCCAAGGACACAACGGTGGACCGTCACGACACGCTCAAGACTTCCGCAGAGATACTGTTTCCTGGGTCAAAATCCATGGTCCCTGCAGCCCATTCATCCCTTAGCAACCTCTCTTCTTAAACTTCCTAGTAACAGAGAATCTCAACCTTACAAGCATCACCTTACCGAGAAAACGTCCGGCCCTGGCCGGCCAGCTCGGCTCCACTATCATTTCCCCTCTCCGGCAATCGACAGTTAGTTGAGGATATTGCGGGTAACCTTTGAGATATTGTGCTATTCTCCATGGCACACATTCAGAAGCTATAGTTCCTTGGGCACACAATGCCGAGCACTGCAGGTCTTAACGAGGTTTGTCCTCCCACAGCCAGTCTTTCCTAACTCACACCACCCCATGTCAACATCGCGGGCCGAGTGCCTATGCGTGACATGGACGAGGATACCAACCAAAGAGGACTCTGGAGTCTGAATTATCTCATAGCTGAAGATATTCCGGTGAACACTTCCGGACAGAACCCCTTTAAGATTGCTGACTGTATTTGAAGGATGTGGAGAGTGAGAGGTCTCCAGACGCTGAACCCCTAGAGAAAGGGTCTCTACTGCCAAACACCTCTGGCCCCTCACCAGCAGCGCCGCATTGCAACCAGACATTCCACAAAACGTGATTAGGATATGTTGCCCCTGCCTGCCCACTGTCTACTTAGCGCTCCTCCCCGCACCTGCGCACACCCTCCTCCCAGAAAGAAGGCAGATAAGGGAAGGCTTCATTGTCCAATCAGGTGACGAGCTCTTTGGAAACAAAGAGAAAGTGCAATCAGAAGTCCCTCATGCTCAGAACCACAACTGCTATTTGCCCGGAGATATATTTTAACCATTTTCCCCGCCCTCCCCCCAAAAAACCCCAGGAATAAATATTCTTCTATGGCAGCTGCAATGGCTACCGGGGGGGTATTTACAGGGGGAATTCAGCCAGAATGTCTCTTTTTTTTTCCTTTTTTTGTTTTGCTTTTCAAGTTTCAACACCGTTATCAATCATGCAAACATACCAAAGCTTTTTGCACGGCACCCGCCAGCAACGAGGCAAACAAACAAAAAACAAAAAGAAAAGAAAAGAAAGGAGCTTATTTGTCAAATGGGACTCGTTAACAGAACAAAACTTCCCACAGTCACAAGCTTCATCGTCACCAGGAGAAGACTAACACCTTTGGGACAAAGAAACGAAGCATGCAGCCTACCAAAAGCCCCCACCCCCTTGCCCTGGGCTGGCAGCTTCCCTTGGGCGTCTCTCGCCCCGCCTCTTCCAGCGCTTCCTTCCCCGCCCCGCCCCCCCGACAATGGCAGACAGGCACAGGAACCGAGACAGCAGGGGCACGCGAGGAGGGCGGCGCTCAGTCTTGGAACGATACCGACACAAAAGGCAAGAGGGTCACCGGGACGAAACGTCAACCCGAATGGATAACGAGAACAGTCAGCAGCAAAAGACTGAAGACTTTAGTTGTGCCACATTCTGATCACTTGTTGAGACTGTCACAGAGGGGAGGGGGTGGGGTGGGGCTTCGATCTCGGAGGGAGGACGGGGACGCCTTCCCGGTTGAACGAGAAAGAGCCGCGCGCGGCAGGCCGAGCGGAGCAGATCACTCGGCCGCCATGCGGCCTGGAGAGAGTCGCAAGGTGACATCCAGCCCGCAGACAAGGAAGCTCCTGGCCGGAAAGAGGCACGGTGGCCTTCCGCTTCATTTGGAGGAGAATCCCGGCTGTCCTTGATTCCTCAAGGTCAGCAGGTCGGTTAGGTAGAAAAACGAAGGACGCGCACAGGAGAGATTCCCTTTCTCTTTGTCGCGTTCCGCTTCGGCGAAACCGGTCCCGAGGAAAGCCTTTCCCCAAGCATCTCCATTTGTTTCAGCACAATCCTGAGGTAATCTTATCTTCTTTGTGCAAACCTCGGAAAGACGGCGGGGGGAGGGGAGAGGGGCGGTACTCGTGGAGACGATTGTGCCCTTGTGCCCTTGGCAGATCCTGAGGGTTGGCTGGGTTGTTCTCCAGCTCTCATTCCAACATGGCGTCCAGCTGGTCGGCGAGGTCGTCGAACATACTGCCGATGTCGTCCAGAATGCTGACTGTGCTCTTGGATTCCGCGGCGGAGCTGAGGGGGGGACAAAGGCCGAGGGGAAGGGTTAGGAGGATGCCAGATGTGCTCACCCACCCCCACGGCAGGATCTCCCCCCCTGCGATGGCGATTGATTTCCCACCATTCCTCTGAGATCTAGGTGGCATTCCTTACCTAGCCCTATATGGTCAGGGGCCTGCCTACCTGAGGGACCGCTTTTCCCCACATGTTCACCAGAGAGCACTGAGGTCAGGGACTCAAAACCGCCTGACTCTCCCTGGTCTGAAAGATGCCAGACTGGCTTCTACCGGGGCCAGGGCCTTCTCAGTGGCGGCCCCACACTGGTGGAATGAGCTCCCGGAAGACATCAGGGCCCTGCGGGACCTCCTACAGTTCCGCAGGGCCTGTAAAATGGACCCCTTCCACCAGGCCTTCGATTAGGCGCCGCCACTGTCCACTGACTATATACTGATAACTTCTGAACAGTTAACATCTGAACGGTCAAGGCCCGCTTTGTGAACTGTATTTTGACCCTATGGGATGCTACTGCCATCAGCATTTTTATCTTTTTATATATATTTAGATGTATCTATGATGCCATTTTTGGTATACTACGTTCTTGCATTGTCTCAATGGATCCGCGTTTTAACGTATTTTAACCTGCCATAAGCCGGCATGAGCCTGCTATGCAAGGAAGGCGGGATAAAAATTGAATAGATAGATAGACAGACAGACAGACAGACAGAGAGAGAGAGAGACAGAGAGAGAGAGAGAGAGAGAGAGAGAGAGAGAGAGAGAGAGAGAGAGAGAGAGAGAGAGAGAGAGAGAGAGAGAGAGAGAGAGAGAGAGAGAGAGAGAGAGAGAGAGAGAGAGAGAGAGAGAGAGAGAGAGAGAGAGAGAGAGAGAGAGAGAGAGAGAGAGAGAGAGAGAGAGAGAGAGAGAGAGAGAGAGAGAGAGAGAGAGAGAGAGAGAGAGAGAGAGAGACAGACAGACAGACAGACAGAGAGATAGGTAGAGAGATAGAGAGATAGATGAGAGAGAGAGAGAGAGAGAGAGAGAGAGAGAGAATAGAGAGACAGACAGACAGAGAGAGAGAGAGACAGAGAGAGAGAGACAGACAGACAGACAGACAGACAGATAAAGACAAGCCGGAAACGACAACTGGTCCTAAATGCAGCAGCCCAAGAACTGTCAGGGGCCGGCCAGCTGCTGGGAACGTTTGTTGCCAGCCTGTTTCTGAGTCCATTTCCAGGGCCTGGTGATGAGCTCTATGGACCATCAGGCCTTCCTGGGACCGGTACCTTTGAAGGACCGACTCCTTCCAGATGGCCCTTTGCGGCAACTACAGTCGCCAGGCAGCCACCTGCTGGCTACACCACCACGGCTCGGGGCAGCCCACCTGGCACGAACCAGAGCCTGGAGCTTTCCCATCATGGCTCCGTGAAGATGTGAGAGGGGGCCCCTTCCTTGGAGATCTTCTGGAGGTGCTGCAAGGCCTGCCCGTTGACCAGGGCTTTCGAGAGGCGTCTTGTAAGGCGGGGGAGAGATTTGGGGTATGCCATTTTATGGCCCCGGTCACATGGGCCGGATATCGCGGGGGCGAGGCGTGGCTGTTTGCCCCGGGGCAAAATAACGTGCAGTTGCGCGATCAGACGTCCCGTGGAGGTTCCATGGGTAGGGGGGAGGTGCCGATCACAGGACAATCCTGCGGCGCGGCAAAGAAGGGGGAGGTGCCGATCATGCCACGGCAAAGAAGCGGAGCAGCGCGGCAAATGGGGTTGTGGTTTTTTTAAAAAAACTGAAATGTGCGCATGCTCCATTGGGTGCTTGTGCGCATCCGTGGAGACTTGTGGGGAAAAAAACCTTTTTGCAAGGGGACATGGGAGGGCACCGGATGCCACTGGAAATGCGATCAGATGCCTGCCCTTGCCCTGCAGTTACCGGAAACTAGTACCTCGGAGGTACTTGTTTTTTACCCCGCATCTTCGGCGGGAAGCCTCGGGTGAGCCACAGGAGCTCTATGCTTCCTAGATGTGGCGGTGAGATCGCGCCCGGAAAATCTGCCTATCTGCCGTCTCTCTAGCGTGGCTAATGTTCCGTGTGACCGCAGCCTATGTTTAGTTTCAACTGAAAATGCTAAGCCGCCTTGAACCATGAGGAAGGGTAGGGTATAAATGTTTTAACTGATAAATTTAAATAAATGAAACCCCATCATAGAAAAGAAGAAGAGGAGGAGGAGGAGGAGACTGGACTTATCCCCCGCCCTTCACTCGGAGTCTCAGAGCGGCTTGCAATCTCCTTCCCCTCCCCACAACAGACACACGAGAGAGCTCCTACCCTTACACCCTCCTCTTGTGACCCACACAGAGGGTACTCTCTGGGTTCTGCCCCCCGCCCACCTGAACCCGCCTCGGGCCCCTCCCGCCCCTGCTGGGTAGTCCTTACTCTGCTGCCTGCCCATCCTCCTGCTTGATCTTCTCTTCCACGGCTTGCAGGGCAGCCGCGAGCGAGGCGCTTGTCTCCTCCAGTTTCTGGTGCGCGCTCTCCGCGCTGGCGCTCTCCGTCGAAGGCCCCGCCATGGACGAGCGTGGCGGCTTGACCGGCACCATCTGGGGGGGTGTCCCGCCGGGGGAGAGGGGCTTCGCCGGGCTGGAGCAGAGCGACGGGGGCGTGCTCGACGGCTTGATGGTCGGAGCCAGCTGCTTGGCGGGTGACGGGGCGGGCGTGGAGCTGGCGCTTGCCGACTGGAGGGCAGCGTGGACCTTCGGCTTGGGGGCGGTCGGGGGAGGCGTAGGCTTGGGGGAGATGGGAGGCGGAGTGCCGTGGACTCGCTTCACTTCTGCAATGGAGAACAGAGCGTCGAGGCTTGGCCGCTTCTGGGGAAGCCGCCGCTGTATCTATACGCCAGCTATTCGGTCTTCCCTCCCCACCCGTCACCCCCAGCATCCCCGAAAGATTGTGCGAGTGCCTTTAAAAAAAGGTAAAGGTTCCCTTGCTCGAAAGCCAGTCGGGTCCGACTCTAGGGTTGCGGTGCTCATCTCTGTTTCAAAGCCGAAGAGCCAGCGCTGTCCGAAGACGTTTCCGTGGTCATGTGGCCGGCATGACTAAACACCAAGGCGCACGGAACGCTGTTACCTTCCCACTGAAGTGGTACCTATTTATCTACTTGCAATTTCTTGCTTTCGAACTGCTAGGTTGGCAGGAGCTGGAAACGAGTGCCTTGCTACCCAGTTAATCTCTCTAAATACGTACTTAGAGAGTCCTCTACCTCTCTACGGTTTCAATCAATGCCAGCAGCAATTTCGGAGGGCCGATTCAACCAAGCTCCATTGGCCCATCATCTGTGTCTTTGTGGTTCCCATGAACTTGAGGATTCACCTCACTACATTCTCTTTTGCCCACTGTATTCTAGTCTGAGGGCTAAATTTTTAGCAGGTGTTTATTTGTGGTTCCCACGAACTTGAGGATTCGCCTCGCTACATTCTCTTTTGCCCACTGCATTCTAGTCTGAGGGCTAAATTTGTAGCAGGTGTTTTATCTGGTCTTCACGCTTACCCAGTTGAGGTTTTTTTTTTTCATTTTTGTTATCTGACATTGATGCCTATGTCTCGTATAAAGTGTCATTATTTGCCCTGGCTGCAAAGAATAAACGTACCAAGGTGGTATCAGCAGGGGTCATTTCCTGTGGGAGCGCACAGGAGCGGAGCTCCGGCAGTAAAGAGCCCATGGGGCGGGCACATGTAACAAGCCTCACCCCCTGCTCCCAGGAGCCCCAGGCCACAAGGAGCAAGAAGCAGCCAGGTAAGTTGCAGTGGGTGTTGCCTTCTGACACACCTCCGGTGATGTCAGGGGGTGTGGCATATGCAAATAACTTATGCTAATGAGTTATGCTAATGAGCTCCTGCACCTCTTTTTCTACAAAATGACCCCTGGGGGATTATCTAGGCTACTGTATTCAATTAGTCCTATTTTGTTACTGATCTCTGGTATTTTCATATATGCTGACTTTTAACCTGTAGCTTCTTCACCATTTGTGTTTTGTAATTCTGCAACGGCCGGTGGCTGATTACAAGAAACCAAACTGAAACCGATCTGAGCCTTGCCATGTTATAGAGACCAAACCCCCTTTGGGATCAGTCGCTTGGGCCTGCCCCTGAGCCAACTGGCAAGGAGAGAGCTTCCTCCGGCAACGTGCACACTCACCTGGACTGCCAGGCCCAGGAATCGGGGCCTTCTTGGAGGTGGGCGTGGGAGGCCCAGAGGCTTTCTGGGGTAGGACGGGCTTGGGAGATACCGGCGGCTTCACAGGTTTCTTGGGTTCGCCTTCTGTGCGGTCGGACCTCTCCTGCTGGCCGGCAGGGCGCGAGGCATCCGTGCCGCTCGTGTCGGAGGCCGGTCGGCGCCTGACGGTGGCGGTGCCGTTCTGATACACCGACAGCGGCGCCGGCTCCTGCTCCTTGTCTTTCGACTTTGGCCGCCTCTTGACCGTGTCGGACTCCGTGAGGAGGAACTTGATGTTGTCCTGCTGGCTCTGCTTGGCCCGGATCCTCCTCTTCAGGGTGGCGCTGGCCTCCACTTTGCCGAGGTCGCGGTGGGAAAGCGGCGGGGCCTCCCCCCCTTCGGCCTTGGCCACCCCCATCTGCCGGGGGCGCTGTTTGATGGTCAGGTTGCCCTCTTCGGCAAAGGGGATGTTCTCACCAGGACCGCTCTGCGGGGAGGCTCCGGCGTGCTCCGCCCGCGGCCGTTCCGTCGGGCTGCCGTCTTTCGCCGCCTCGGACTTGATGCTATCCGACCGCTCGCGGCGGGCAGCCGTGACGAGCCCGGTGACGGGGCCGCTGATGGTTCGCCGGCGGTTCACCACCTCCCCGTCTAGCCCAATGGCATCCTTGTGCTTCACGGTGGCCAGCACGGTAGCAACACGAGAGTGTTCTGGGCTAGCCGGGTGCACGGCGACCCCAGGGGGCAAGTAGTATCCGTCGGAACCCTTCCCGAGGCCGGGTGGCCTCTGCAAGGTGAGCCCTCGGCCCCCACCTCCGATGGACGACATCTCCAACATAGCGGCGATGCTCTTCACGCTTCCGGCACTGCCCGTGTCAACGGTCCCGCCGAAATCACTGGCGCGCCGCTGCTGCTGCAGTTCCGGGGAGGGCTCCAGTCTCTCCTCCCCTTCCTTGGTGAAGTCGTCGCCCATGTTGGTGCTCGAGATGGCAGAACTGGAACGCTTGGGGGGCGGCGGCGGGGGGCCCTTCTTCTTTGGCCGCACGGCGAAGGACTGGCTGCGGTTGACGTTCTTATCGTTGCCCGACTGTGATCGCACGGAGTGGCTGCGCCCGACTCGCCTCTGCACGGTGGCGTAGGGACCGGCGTCCGGCACCAGCAGCTCGTCTCGCTCCTGCTCGCTATCCGACATGGCGTAGCGGTTCAGGCTGTGGGCCCTCTTCTTCGGCCGGCCGCTCTCCTCCTCGCCGTCCCCGGCCTGAGGCGGCAGGCACAGCACGGGCACCGAGACAGGCAACACCGGCACAGCTTGCGCCAAGGGCCCGGCCGTGTGAGCGTCACCCTCCACGGGCTGCGGCATGACGTAGGCGAAGCCGCGGTGCGTGGGGGACTGAGGCAGCGAACGAGGAGACATGGGGCGGTCAGACTGCGGCAACAACTGGGGCGTGGGCTTCACCTTGGCGGTGGCGTGCGGCAGGCTGACGGCCTGTGGCGAGGACGGGCGGGGCTTGGTGGGCGTTTGCGGGGGGGTGTAGTGACCTCCGGACGGGGGGAAGGACTGCCGCGGTTTGCCAGGCACTGGCGGCACGCTGGCACGCTTGACGCTGTGGCCGTGTCGGAGACTCCGCACGTCCTTGGGGAGCGTGGCCGGGCCTTCTTTCCCGTCCTCGGCCAGGTACTCCTGGCTCCTGGAGATGGCCGCCCCGGGCGATTTGGGTCCGTCTCCCAGCAGCTCTTGGGAGCTGCTCATGTGCTTCGCTCTCCCGCTCAGGCTGTTCTCATGGACCAGGCGGGCGGAGTGCCGGAAGGCGGCCCCTTCGCGGAAGTGCCCCGCGTGGTTGACCTGCTTCTCAGCCCCGTCCTCGCCCGTGCCCGTCATGGCCACCTGCAGCTCGTTGCTCAGCTCGCTGTCCTGGAAGGTGGTCATCTTGGGGGACTGGCATTCGGCCGTCTCCTGCTGGGGAGACTCGATGGCCACCGTGTCCTGCGACGGCGGCCCCCCCTTCTTCTTCAGGGTCCCCGACTCGTACTTGGCGTATTCGGCCTTCTGGATCTCGGCTAACTTCTTCACGGCTAACATCAGCTTCTTCTGGTGGCCTAAGAGAACCCCAGGAGAAATCGGGTTGAGTCCACTTACACAGCGGCTGTTAAAAAAACTTGGGATAAGAAGCGCCCCCCTTCAAAATTGTCTTTTTTCTTAAGAATGTAACAAGGGCCCTGGCTGGATCAGACTAGTGGTCCATCTGGTCCAGCATCCTGTCTCACATACTGGCCAACTAAGGGGAAGGCCGATCCAACAACAGGGCATAGAGGAGTTCTTTCACCCGGAGAAGAATGATGTAAGTAGCTACGGGTCTCCATTGGGAAGAAACCTGGGGTATAAGTGAAGTAAATAAATAAATGAATATTCACTTCTGGCTGATTTTCAGGGATTTCCTCAGGCCAGTATCAAGCTCAGAGGCTGAATAGTTAATTAAATGCCATGTTAGAAAAGCAAACTGCTTCAGGTTCTAAGATTTCTCCAGTGGTCCAAACTATGTTCGATTAATTGATCTAAGAATAGATAGATAGATAGATAGATAGATAGATAGATAGATAGATAGATAGATAGATAGATAGATAGATAGATAGAGTTGGATCTAAAGCTTGTTATCTTCTGACAGAAGGGTACTTTTGCTGATGGGAAAGGTGGGAATTTTCATATATCCCCCTTAATATTCTGGACCCCAACATTTAAAAAAAATTGGAAGTTTTTATTGATAATTAACAAACAATACATAACATCAATAACAATAAAACAATACTTAACATACAATAACATTCAAAAGGCCGCTGCATAATATGTTATAGGATTACATTAATTCTGGACCCCAAGATCACACCCAGCAGTATGCCGGGGCTCTCTTAATTCCTTGGGGCAACATTCTGGAGGCTGTATTAGGTCACAACAGGACAGTTTCATGCTGTGACCAGAATTCCATTTCTGGCACTTTGATCCAACACCACATAAGCTAAATATTTTTTTTTTAAAAAAGCACAGCATGCATACACAATGTGAACAAATCTACAAAATCAACAGTGAAAAGGGGGAAAATAGGATCAATGCAGAAAGAAACAAAACAGGGAACATTTCTCTACTTAAGACAAATATGGCTATCCATGTTTTATTCTAAGAAGTTGATTTCCATTTCAGACACTGTTATAAATGGGAACATCAGTGCTGCTGAACAGGAATGTACCTGATACACCTCTGTACCATCTCTTCAAGGAAAGCAAATAGGGATAATTGCTTCAGCGTGTAATTACAGCCACAAAAACACCTGTCAATTTGTAGGCATTGTTCCGATGTTACGCTTTTTTCCACACTTCTACTCTGAATGACCCAGCCCGGAATCCGCCCGCACCCCCGCTGGACTCAGCCCCCTCACCCAGTTTGGTGATGCCGATCTCCTGCAGGTCCTCCCACGTGATGTCGGTGATGAAGTCGATGTTCTCGTAGCCATTCTCCACCAGCACCTTGTAGTACTGGCCCAGGCCGATCATGGAGAGCCAGAGAGCCAGGTTTGCCTGTGGCGGGAAGAGGGACACAAATCAGTCTTCCAAAGAGAACGGAGGGGCCGTTGCCGAGAGAGGGTCTCCTTTTCCCCTCGGGATGCTCGGGGGGGGGGATTTATCTAGTGCCGGCCAAGAGACGGTCGCCCCAGAAACAACAGAGCCGCCCATGAGCCTCGCTGAGCCCAAAATGGAGGAAAGAGGGACATCTTACTGGCTTGTATTCCGGGAGCCACTCCGGGATGCTGAGACTGTTGATCTCCGAGGCAATCTTCTTCCTGTGGCCAGGCTTGGTGACGCCGATGGCCGTCAGATCCTGCAGCAACATAGAATAGAATAGAATAGAAGAAGAAGAGATTGGATTTATGCCCCGCCCTTCACTCAGAGTCTCAGAGTGGCTTACAAACTCCTTTCCCTTCCCCTCCCCACAACAGACACCCTGTGAGGTGGGTGGGGCCGAGAGAGCTCTGACACAAACTGCTCTTTTTCAAGGACAGCTGTGCCAGAGCTTGTGACTGACCCAAGGTCACATCAGCAGCTGCAAGTGGAGGAGTGGGGAATCAGACCCGGTTCTCCCAGATTAGAGTCCGCACACTTAACCGCTACACCAAACTGGCTCTCCAGAATAGAATAGAATAGGCTAAATATTGTAGAAGAAAAGAGACACCCATCCCCAGAAGAAATAATAAATAAGCTATTGGAAACGGCTGAGATGGATAAATCGACTATACTTCTGAAAGGACAGAAAAGACGAACGTTTTGAAAATACGTGGTCAAGATTTTACAGGTGGACTGAAGAATATATGAAATAAACTTTGCATGCAACCAAAGTGGAAAACGTAAAGAACACCATAAGGACATTGACAGTAATGTGTGCAAAGTTTTTAAAAAACACAATAAGGTGTAGAAACTTATTTGTGTTTAGGGAAAAACTTAAGAGAGGCTCAATGGTTAGATTCCCCTATTTTATGTTTGTGTTTGTAGATTTGTTGTGTTTTGGTTAGGGTATGTTTGTTTGTCCATTTGTCATTGTTATAAAATAAAAAAATATCCCCCCCCCCCCAAAGATCCTACCGCAACAGAACAGCAACTCGATTTCATTCTATTCCAAACAATTTGCAAACCCGCCTTTCTCCTAATAACCCGCGGCCCGAGACAGGTTCTTACGCCGCGTGCCACAAAAGCATCCAGCCAGGGACAAACCTGAAGTTGCCCTCCCCTTCCCCCCTTAAGGGCAGTCTTGAACGAACCCCAGCTGGCCTCTTGTCCAACCTGGAATTTTTTTGGCTCGCACCAGCAAGACTTGGTGACCTCATTGCACAGGGAAATCCCACCATAAGGAGAGAAACCTCCTAAATGTCACCGTTGTTAGCTGTTCTTAGAGCTGTGGGGCCCCCCCAGAAGGAGAACAGAAAAGGAGATTGGATTTACACCACGCCCTATCTTGTCCATGGGGTTGCGAAGAGTCGGACTCGACTGTGCGACTGAACAACAACAAACTTCACTGAGAGCGGCTCACAATCTCCTTTCCCTTCCCCTCCCCACAATAAACACCCTGTGAGGCAAGTGGGGCTGAGAGAGCTCTCTCGAGGACTGCTCCTGAGAGAACAGCTCCGAGAGAACTTGTGACTGACCCAAGGTCACACCAGCAGCTGCATGTGGAGGAGGAGTGGGGAATCAAACCCGGTTCTCCCAGATTAGAGTCCGCACTTCTAACCACTACACCAAACTGGCTCTGACACAAAGGGATCGCCGCCGAAAAGCGGTGGCAGTTTTTTCAACGCATGACATTCTGTTCTTCGGCCACTAGAGGGAGCACTGGTAAGACCAGAGGGGCTACAGGGAAATTTCACTTTCTAGTGAAATCCTGCATGTGAGAAAAGTCGGCCATTGAGATTCACTCTGGAGGGAGGGGAGGGGAGGGGGACCTCCAAAGAATACCAGGGCCGGGAGGCAGAGGCAGGCAGGCAAGCCACTTCTGTGAACGTCCTCCATGCCCCAGTAGGAGTCAACAGAGGTGGCC